GGCTCGAGCCTCCGGGTGAGGCCATCTCGTGAGGCCCCCTCGAGCGCGCGGCGCCTCTTCTTGCGCGGCGGCCCATCCGTGCGAGGGCCATGGGCGACGACTCCGAGGGCGACGGCTGCCGGGACTTCGCAGAGATCGGCGCGGACATGCCCGACGAGGAGGACGTCGTCTTCGACGACGCGATGAGGGAGGCGGACGCGGCCGCGCTGGCTGCGCTCATGAGCAACGAGGCGTTTCTCGCGCGTTGTCGGAAGTGTTGCGGCGAGAGCAACGCCGAGGGTATCCAGTCGAACCACCGTGCCTTGGATGGCGCTGCGGTGGGCGAGGTTGTCGAGAAGGTTGTGACCACCTATGGCGCGCCACATCTGAGGCCTGTGGCAATTTTGGAGCGATCATCGAGGAAGAAAGAAACTGCATATACATAAATGTTCGTAGGCCCGCGCGGGTTTCATGGATCGGCGCTGGACCCCGCTGGCGGTGCTTCCAGCGCCGCCCCTGGCGCGATCTGCGCGGCAGGGAGGGGATCCAGCGCCGATCCAAGAATTCCGCGCGGACCTCCGAAAGTTTCTGGTCATGTCGTTTGATCGACCTCTGGATCAGGTGAGGAGACCACGGCAGACGGCGCATGCTGGTCGTTGATGAATCTGCTCAGATACGCAGCTGCCGGGCAGAGTTGAGCTACTGCAGTGATGGGCATTGGGAAGAGGGGCAGCCTCAGCAGCTACCTACGACTTCGCTCAGCAGCTTCAATAGACCCCGAGTGTTAGTATATGCGAGCATCGCGGAAACCCGGACATGTCATCAATCGCCCTTCTCCTGGATCGATTCTTGAACGCGCATGTTGGTGCCAAAGGACGGAGCCGACGAGGGGGGAAGGTGGAGAGGGTGCCCAAGCGGTTGTGTCTCGTCTGTCATTCTCTCTCTCTCTCTCTCTTTTGTGTTGAGGCGGGGAAGGAGGTGGTGGATGAGGGGGGAGCAGCACGAGGATATACAAGAGGAAGAGGAGGATGCGAGATCCATGAGGTCGCGGTCGACTCGGCCTCCTGCCCCAGAGAGGAGACGGAGGAGGAGGATGAAGAGGAGGAGGAGGACCAGTTCAAAACCAAGGTTCATCAACGATATTGCAATAAACCCTCCCTCCAAGTTCGCTCTTCACAGGCCCCAGCAATGATTCAGTTTTGCTGAGCAGTGCCCCGTTGGAAGACAACCGTTTGAAACTCCTGAACTTTGCCAGAACACCATTGCTCGGATTTGCACGCCGCGAATCACCGTTACTGTTGCCTCTTAACGATCCTGAATCGTGCCAGAACATTATTTCTGGGACTTCAACAACAATAATCCTTATAATTGAGGCGTCTTGACAGTCCGACATCGTGCCCAAACGCCACTTTTCTGATGTTAGCCATACGAACCCTTGAATCGGTTGTAAGTTTTAATACGAGTGTGCGCGGCGCTAATGTGAGAACCACATTTTGAAGAGGAGCCGCCCTCCATCTGTGAAGTTGCTACATTTTTTGAAGCCGAATGCGCGCAGCGTCAAGGCGATCACCACATTTTGAAAAGGAACCGCCCTCCATCCTTGAAAATGCTGCAGCTTGCAAGCTTCAGTATCATAAGTGGTGAAGAAGTCTCAGGCGATACGCCCGGGCCTGCCCACTCGACCAGCCTCGGGGTGCGACAGGGAGGAGTTTCTCGCAAGGAGAAGGAGTGCAACGGAGGAGGTCCTTTTCTTTTCTTTTTCTCTTCTCTCGATCGGTCTGTTTCTGATGCTGTCGTTCCTATGCCACTACCCTGCTCAGTTTGCCTCACGAGCTGGTGGTGACTCCGGGGGCGACCGCCCCTGGAGTCACATGGCTCACTAGTTTCTTCCATTCCTCCCTCCTCCCTCCTTCCTCCTTCCTCCCTCTTCTCCTCCTCCTCCGTAGCCATTTTGGCTCAAGGCTAATGCATTTAGGGGCTCCGCGCCTCCGTGCCTGACCGGGATAGCTCTGTTCCCCGAGCCAGTGTGCAGTCTTTTTGTGAGTTCCTGCTGTAGCAAGGTTTTGTGAGCTCCTGCTGGAGCGACAGATGGGAGGTAGGAAAAATGCGTTCACTACGTGCTCGAAGTGCGGCAACTGGGCCTGGAATTGGCGGCTCAAACGTCAGAAAAGGGGCCTGTGAGATCTGCACTATACAGCCAGGGTGGACTACTACGGCAAATGGTACTTGGTATGCACCGTGGTGGAAGGACGGCCAGCAGGACGACTGGCACAGGGGCCCTGCCACCTTCACGCTCGAGGATTACATGCCTAAGGCGATGGAGACGGCGGACTTGGGGAAGGATCCAGAGGCGGCCAGGCTCGCGTCGCAGCGAGGCGAAAAAGCCTCAGCCCCCAAGCCTTCATACACGGTGCTCACGGAGGCGACGGCGGAGTGTTCGCGAAAGCAGGATGCTCTGGACAGAGCGGCCCGCGCGGCGGAGTACGCTAAGATGCAGCTGGAAAAGGCACAACAAGGCTTTCGACAAGGCTGCGGACGACATGGTCGAAGCGGAGTGTGCACGTTTGCATGCCCAGGAGCGCTTTGGCAAGTCCCCCGACAAGTCGCACGAGGGCGTCACCTTCGCCGTGGACCCCGCACTGTTCGAGTCCCTCGACGAGCTGGAACCGTCCGACAGGACGGCGCTCGAGACCTTCCAGAAGCGGTTGGAGCATATCTCGAGGCAAGCGACCGAGCAGCAGAAGGAGTTCCAGCCGCTGCCCGACCAGGCAAAGAGTGCGCACAAGGAGGCTGCCACCGGGCGGCGCCGTCGCGATGAGGGAGGCGCTGCTGTCCGCGGCGAAGGGGGCCCTGGCGCGCCCTCGGCCCCTGAGGCGGGAGGCGCGGCCGCGGCCCCCACCGCTGCGGCCGCAGGCCAGGGCCCCAGCGCCTCCGCGGCGATCCCTGCGGCGGCGCGGAAGGATACGCGCGCCAGGTTCGCTGCCAACTCCGAGACCCAGACCAAGGCGGCCAAGGGGGTGGGCAAGGGTGGCGGCGATCCGGCCACCGTTGCTGCTGCTGCTGCTGGGCCGCCTGGTTCCTAGCGGCGCCCCGCAGTGCCCGCGGCGTTGGGGCGACGCAGCGCCTGGTGATGGTGACCTACCTGGTTATGGGAATGGCTCGACGCCCATCCTGTCCAGCAACATTACGGAGTGGGGGCCGCAGGCTGCGCGATACTTGCCCCGGGGTGTCGGAGCGCAGTTTCGCGGCCTTCTGCGAGATACACCAGCGCAAGCAGGACATGCCTGACATCTGTGCAGGCTTGGACACAGATGGCTGGATGCTCGCTCGCGCGGCGGCTCGTCCATCGGGCAGGCCGGAGAGCGGGCTTCCAGGCGGAGAGTCGGTTTTACTGAGAAGCAGATTGCAGCGACGAGCTTTGAGAGTGCACGTCGCGCTGCTTTGGGCGCGGGCAGGCTGGGCCCCTGCCGTGGCTTCCCGCCGATTGCGCCGCGCGCCGAGGCTGGCAACCGGGCGCTGATCTCTGCGCGCCTCCAACCAGGTCTGGGAGTGAAAAGGTTGGAATAACGACGTGCTCGTGGCTCTGGTCGCCTTCGCGCGCTCGTTGGCTGACCCGTGCCAAATCGTGGCGGACTGGAATATTGAGCCAGGCCCTTTCGTTGCCACTGGTTGGCCAGAGCGCCTCCGCACGCGAATAGTCACCCCCTCGTGCAGTACCGCGTGTGACCAGGGTATTGGACGCATGCATGACAACGGACATGTTGGAAGAGGATCCCCCGAGCTGTGTTTGAGCCCTGATAGGGCGGTGCCTTGGAGGACGCACTGCGGGGTCAACGTATGCGCGAAGGCCGCCCGCACTCAGCGTCGGCACCGCCAGCTCGTCCCACCGCAGCCTCCTCCGCCCTGCGAGCGCTCGCGCGCCCTTCCCGGCCCAGAGGGCAAGACGTCGAGGAGGAGAGCAGTGGCCCGTGAGAAAAAAGCTGCACGTGCCCCCCTCGGTGTCTCATAAGGCCTTCGACGATTTGCACCAGCCTATGGGCGGGCCCGATGGCATGACTCTTTTAGGGCCCCAAGGCACGCGCTGCTCACCCCCGTCGCCCAATGGGCCTTCGGGGGCAGAGGGCGCCGACCTCAGGGTGGAAAGCCGACCCGGCGTCTCTTCAGATGAGAAGGTTACCCTTGGCATGCCTGCTGAGATTTGGGAGGAGGCATGCGGGCAGATATTCGGGGAGGGAGTTCCCGATGCACGCGGGCTGGCTCCTTCTGGATTCTTGGGGCGCCATGCGCCTTGCGATCCTGTTCAGCATCATGGCTTCCCGTGGCAGGAAGAGGCTCGCGGGTCGGCGGGCGAGATGCACAATCGTTGGGCCACTGCGATGGAGAGAGCAGTTCTGCTACATGAGAAGGTTGAATCTGACAAGTGGAAGATGCAGTCGGGGCGCGCTCGCGGCCCCGCTTGCCGCCAGAAGCTCGCGCGTTCTACCCCGGGCCGAGCGCGCGCGAAGAACGGCCGGGCAGAATGGTGGGGCATCGCTAGCGCGTTGGGCATCCGATATGCTTCCCGGAAGCGCAATGGCTCGGATCCCGCCCAGGCAGGCCCGCGCGTTGCGAAGGCGCAACAACTCATCGAGCAGCGAGACGGCGTGGACGGCGATAGCTACTTCGGCAAGAGGCACGACCACCAGGGGATCTTCTTGTGGAAGGGCACGGTCGCCAACTTGGATGCTGTCTCGTCGGGGTCTTCACCTGAACTGCTGGAGAGGGCTCGCAGGCGGGCTGACCTAACGCTCGGGCCACGCTGGCCCCCAGTACCTCGCTTATGAAGTGGGCCCAAGAAATGCGGTCAGCTCATCGCCGCGTGAAACCAACGGGCGCCCCAGTTCGAGCCAGGAAGGACTCCTGGGGCACGGTCGCATCGGACAACCAGGCTGCGCTGCAAGGTCTGGCTGTTGAATGGAGAGATTTTTGGAAGGGCCCAGTCGACAAGCCCCAGGACATATTATGCGTGATGAAAAATAGTTTGGATTAGGCGCGCGCGCCGCCGCCCCGCTCATTAATCTTCTGGATTTAGATCCGGTACTACCTCGGATACCTGCGAACAAGGCGAAGGGCATCGACGCTCTGAGCCCGCTGGACATGCAGCGCCAGCCTGAGCAAGCACGGCAGGCCTTTGATGACATCCTGGACGCGATTGAGTCTGCCGGAGTCTGGGCGCTGCGATACCGAAGGCTATCAGCACTTTATTGGGCGCTGCGATGCCGAAGGCAGCGGGAGGATGGCGCGTGTTTGGTCTGGTTCCTGTGCTTCAGAAGGTGTGGTCCAAGTTGCGCTCGAAGGTCTCGGGTGAGTGGTCGGCGTCTCCGTCAGCATTTTTGGGGCACTGCGATTGCTGGATGTCCCGCCCTACGCGCCTCGCTGATTCGAGCGACGATGGACGAGGGTGTCCATGAGTTGGCGTGTGAGCACGCGGCACTTTTTTTAGACCAATAAGTTTTACGACGCGGTGAGCTTAGTGCTGACGATGCGGGCTGGACTTAACTCTGCGTCTCCTCCCATTATTATGTTTCTTGAGGTTGGCTTGTATTCCTTCCCTCGTCCTCTGAAGAAGGGGCAGATGATTTCCGATGCGTCGAGGTTGCCAGGCCCATTGTTGCCGGATCTGGTCATGGAGTGCCGCGTCGAAGGTCATGCTCCACAGATTGCTGCATTCAATGCGCTGTGCTGTGCCCCCTGTCGGCTTGTGGAGCTACGTCGACGGCGTCGCATGCCGTGCTGAGGGGGCGAAGCAGAAGGTTTACAATGGTTTGGAGGCCGCAGCTGATGTTATGGTTGCAGGGCTGGCGGAGTTGAGATGGCAGATTTCGCCCAAGGCGAATTGGTCGCCAGTTCTGATGAGAGCGGGAGCGAGCTGCAGCGCAGGTTGAGGCGCAAGGGCATATTTGTTGAATATATTCGCGCTGCCGTCGGCCCTGGCTCTGACGCTACAGCATCTCGTTTCCGAGTATCTCTTCGCGTGGTGAGACGGCGTCTCAGGCTCGCAGGAGGCAGAGGAAAGCCACGAAGGTTCGCCGCCTTGGACGCTTGAGATTTGTGACGAAGAAGCTGCGGAACACGGGCGTGTATCCTGCATCTGTTTTTGGCCATCAGGTGATGGGGACACATCGTTCGCTACGCGCCGTGATGCTGCTGCTGCTGCAGCGGCTGGTGCGAAGAGAGGCAGGCGCTTGACGTCGGTGCTGCAGGCGGTCTACGGCATGGCGGACCCTGGAGTGGACCTCAGACGCCAGCTGCTTCGTGGATGGGTCGCTCTTTGGTTGTCGCAGCCGCGCCTCCACCCAGGATCAAGAGGGCGTGGCCTGTGGTGCTGGCCAAGCTGAAGAAGGGTAGGTCCACGCGCTGGAAAGATGTTCGTCGGCCGGTTGCCGCGCTGCAGGCGACTGCGCTGCAGGCCGGGTGGGGCCCTGCGCCCCCCTTGGCGTGGTCGTGCCCGCTACCTGATGGCACGATTGATGAATGGCTCTTCCTTGGCTTTGGTGACGAACAGCACGGCGCGGCGGCGATGTCCCACTTCGATGATGTGCTCGGAGCTCTCCCGGGCGATTGCATCGCAGCAGTGGCGGGGAGGGCGCCGCGGCTTTCGGCGGGCGAGGGCCTTGTGCATGGCGCTGACACGACCGCGGTGAGCATTGAGCTGAATCGCTTCGCCAAGCGCATGCAGTCCGAGGGGTGGCCCGCGGACCTCGCCGTCGCGGGCGGCGGCCAGTGCGCCCCTGAGAGGCATATTGCTGCAGGCTACGCGTGCCCGCCGCTTTGGCCCGAGACTTTAGCGCGCCGCATTTGGCCGCGCGCTGCGAATCGCGGGCGCGAGGATTTCATTCAGGCGGATTCTTTGGCCCCCCCAGCCCTCGCGAGCCACGGGGCCCAGCCTGCTCGGCGGCTCCGGGGGGTGCCCCCGGAAGGCCTCGTTGTGCCCAAGTTCGTTGAGACTCCTGAGGTGGCCCAGAAGGTCCTTCTCGGGGATGGGATCTGACTGGGGACATTGCGTTGCGCCTGCCCCCCCCCCCCCCCCTGTGCATCTTTTGGGATGGCTCAGGGGGCGAATGCAGCTCGGACCCTAGGAGAAGGAGATGCGGCTCAGCAATTGTTGCGACGCGCCAGGATCCCTCGTCGCCGTTCTCGGGCCCCGTGCGCTGGGTCGCTCAGGTCCTTGCAGGCAGAAAGCAGACGGTGCCACGAGCTGAACTACAGGCACTGTGCTTAGCGATCGAGTGATATTCGGGCCCAGTTTGCTATGTGACCGACTGTAAGTGTTTTAGTTTCTGATTGGCACAGTGGTCGTGCCAAGTTCCCCCAGGGCCGGCATGGGGACCTCTGGGTCCGTGCTGGGCGTGCCTTGGGAACCCGTGGCCCTGGCGAGTGTTTTCTTTTGTGGGCCCCCTCGCACATGGGAGGATGAGCTACAGTCGATCAAGACCGAATTCGAGCTGTTTTTGCCCCTGGGCAACGCCAGTGCCGACGTCTCGGCTGGCTTCGCGGCCCAGTGGGCCTGGGACTGGCGCGCGTCGCCCCCTGCCCCTTCCACGGACCTTTGGGACTCGACGGCGGCACTGGTTAGGTTCAGAGCCTGACGCGAGCTGCTGATGGCGCTCGAGGTTGAGCCGTGGGTCGGCGAGCGACGTGCCAGCGTCAAGCAACCGCGTAAGCTTTCTCGATGGGACGCCGCCTTGCGGTCGAGTGCGCAAGTGTTCGTTCCGTTTGGTGCCCGTGTGAGGTGCAAGAGGTGCAGAGATATCATCCCGAGGAGCAAGCTGCTCAGATTCGCCTCGACCCAATGTCGTGATTTGCCCCTCGCCCCCCCGCTGGGCTCGGAGAGGGCGCTGGGGTTACCTGCCGAGTATGGAAAGCGGTTCGAGGCGATCTCGGGAGAGGTGTGTGTTGGTGGGGGGTGGCTTTGCACCCCAGCAACTGCCTCGCGAAGATGGACGCATATGGACTGTTTTTTTGTATGACTTGTGGCCGTACGGCCACTGCCCGTGCCAGACACCTCTGAGTGCCCCCCCCCACGAGGAAAGGGGAGAGAATTTGCGCAGAATTCAGAAGGGACTGTTCCCCAGTCATCGTGGTCCACCAGTGTCTGTGATTGCGGCTCCGACGGAGGAGTCTGTGAGCCGTTCTCGTTCAGCCCCTGACGCCCAGGGGGAAGGAACTCCTGTGTCGGGGGCGTTGGGGGTCTTGCCCGATCCCTTGGACGAGTATATGCGCGTGTCGTCTGCCCACCACTCGTGCGCGACGGCGGCCGCGATGAGTGTGGAGGACTGCGAACACCGCGCTGTGCCGTCACCGTTGCCCCGCCCGCTGCCGCCGCCGCCTTGAGGGAGGTGGCTGCTCGGCTTCGTGGGCCGGGTTCGGTCGGCAGCGGCGCCTCCTCCCTCCTCCCTCTTCCTCGTCCTCCTCCTCCTCCTCCTCCTCCTCCTCCTCCTCCTCCTCTTTCGCCACTTCCTCCCTGGCCGACCGGCCTTGCCGGAGGTGTGGCTATACGTCTGCAGGCCGTATTGCTATCAGGTGCCACCGTGCCCCGGGAGGAGAGCAGGAGGAGGCGGCACAACCCACGCAGCCTCCGCAGGGCCGCCGGGTCCGCCAAGTATGAGGGCGGCATGAGCTGATGGGGGAGCATCGCGAGGAGGAGGAGGAGGAATATGAGGAGGAGGAGGCGGAGGAAGAGGAAGAGGAGGAAGAGGAGGAGAAGCGGGAGCGGCAGGAGGAGGACCATGATCATGATCCGCAGACGGCCTGTATGCACCGTACCGCGCTGGCGTCTCCCGAGGCGTCGTCGATTTCGACACGGGTACGGTACGGTGCATAGTTGTCCAGCCCTCGGAGCCGAACACTTATGCACCGTACCGCGCTGGAGCGGAGCTTGAAGGGAGTCCAAGCATGGTTCGGGGAATGGGCACCGTTCTCGCTAATGTCGGACGGCTTAGCCTCTTTGCGCATCCCCACCAGCCCATTCGGAAACGATGCCCAGGGGAGTTGTCGGGAGGAGGGACTGAGATACGGAGATCGTGGATCTGAAAGATCAGCAATGGTTATCTTGGAGTGCTCCGGGAGCCTCTTGTGGCCATCTGGGGGCTAGATTGTGGCTCTCTGCGGAGCTTCTGAGGCGCTCTTGCGACTCTCTTTGGACTCATTTTGGACGCCGTTGGGGCCATGCTGGAGGCAATTAAACATCAAAAAGAGGCCGCACTAATTAGCCCGATCCCCGCGTTGGATACCGACGAATCGTCGCGTAGGAGCTTTTTGGGGACACTCTCAGGGCGTTCTTTGGGTAGTCTCGGCAAAACACAACGAACAAGCAGGTTCAGGTTTTTGGTTAGCTTGGCCTCTGGGGTGTATGCCATCGGGAGGCTCCGTGCCTCTTTGGGGGGCTTTTTGGGGCTTCTTCGGGGCTGGGGCGGGCATCCAGAGCCCGCTCTGGGGCCGAATATTCGAAGTGTACGTTGGGATTCCCCGTTCTGGGCCTTTCTTGAGGCCGTTCTGAGGCCGTCTTGAGCCATCTTGAGGGCATCTCGAGCCGTCATGAAACCCTCTGTGGTCTTGGAGCCGTCTTGGGGGCCTGTAGGACCGCGTCGGGACGGTTTTGGGGACCGTTTCGGCGGTCTTTGAAGCTGTGAAAGTTCAAGAGGCGAATTTGGTAAACATATACGTTTTCCGACGGGAGCGGGACGAGTTTTGCCTTTGGGGGCCCTCTTGGGAGGCCTCTTGGGAGCCTCTTCGAGCGTCTTGGGATTTTCTTGAGCCGTCTTGGGGCCACCGTGGGTGTCTTGGAGCGGTCTTCTGGCGACTCGGGGCCCCCTTGGGGCCTGCTGAGCCCCCATAATGCGTTCGTGCCGGGCCGGGGGGGAGGGGGGGGATTCCGTGCTTGGGAGCCCCGGGGGGGGGCGGAGTATGGGGGGGGAGCTTCTCAAACGCTTGGAGACCCACAAGGGGGCGGCGGACTTGGCATCGCCCCGACGTGTGCGTGTTTTTCAATTGGCGAAGGTCATCGGGAAACATCAAGTACCATGCTGCAATCAACAAAAAGAAAGCACGACACCGAAACATGCATGGGGATTGGACGTCCAGGCGACGGCAAGTTCCCAATGGCAAACAGAGAAGGATCCCCCGACTTTGGATTCGCCGTGCTGTGGCTGATTCTCCGAATTCAGTTTGTGTCGGAGATGCAACCCCAGCGATGCGAAACAGTGGGGCGGAAATGTTCGCCTCGGAAAAGTAGGGCGAGTGTTTCCGCAAAGTTCGGATGGCGGAAACAGCGACGGAAAGGTGTGACGGACATCGGCATCACAGGAGCTTGAAAGCCAGGGCGAACATTTCCGCCTTGCTTGCGAAATCGCCCAAAGCACGGCAGATCCGAAGTCGGGGTACTTGTACCTGGCGCCACGCTTGACGCAAGGCGGCCCCTGGAGGCCCCCTCAGGCTCCAAGAAGCCCCGGCAGGACCCCAAGAGCACCTTGAAAGAGCTTCCGTAGCCATTTGGGCTCGAGCATTTTGTTCAATAGTTGTGGTGGGTCAGGCGGTCTGTCTTCGACTAGCGGCTCGGTGTGTCAGGTGATGTCTCTGCGGAGGGCCATCGCTCGAGCCAGCGAAGTGGCTGCGCCGCTCAGGAAAACATCCAAGAAGGATCAGACCCGTCTCGGTGTGTACCCAGTACCGCCAGAGGCAAACATCTGGTGGATGAACCGCTACCAGGTACCGGGCGGGGAGATCAAGCAGAGCTTTTCTCCCTACCAGCAGAAGATCATGTGGCAGTGGTTGTGGAACGCTCCCAGCCGGTGGTACTGGCGCCTCTCGAAGTGGGCGTGGCCCGTCGGGGTGCCGTCCCTGACGATGTACATCTTCATCTACAAGTCCTGCGAGGCCGACGTGGAAGCGGACATCCGGGCCAAGGCTTGGTGGTGAGGCGGTTTTGCCCGGGCCCGCGTGCTGCCGCGTGGACTGGGCGCGAACGGATGGGGGCGAACAAATGAGGGGGAAGGCAGGTGCCCTTTTCGGGCTCCTTTAGGGCCCCCTTGAGGAGCCCTAAGGGGCCCCTCTTCTGCAGCCCTCGCTGCCCCCCCCCCCCCCCCATGTATCGCCCACCACTAATCCGCGCCCAAGTTGATACTTGGGAGTCACGGAGGGTGTGTGTGTGTGTGTGTGTGTGTGTGTGTGTGTGTGTGTGTGTGTGTGTGTGTGTGTGTGTGTGTGTGTGTGTGTTCGGCGCACACGGGGGGGTGGGGGGGGCAAGTGCCGATGCCAAAGGCCACGTTGTGTTCGATGAGATTTGGCGGCGAGGAGCAGAGGGCAGAGGTCGCCCCCAGCCCTCACCCGAGGCTCCTCCGAACCGGGACTTCCCCATCCGTGTCTCGTCCTGTTCTCCGCGGTTGGCCAGGGGCGCCCACCGCACCAGGGGTTGCCGATCACAGCCAGTCCACGAAGAGGGGGGGGGATCGGCGGCGAGCGAGGGGGGGAAGTTAGAAGGAGCAGGCCTCCTCAGGCGGGTTTTCTCAGATAGGTCCTCGCGCCCTCTGACAAGGCTTCTGTACCTACGGGGAGGGCAGAGAGCACCTGTAAGAAAAGGAAGGGGGCTTCCGAGCCTTCTAAGCAGGCCCGATCTTTCTCGCGTCCACCTTGCGTTCGCCGCCCATGGGAGGAGGAGGAGGAGGAGGAGGAGGAGGAGGAGGAGGAGGAGGAGGAGGAGGAGGAGGAGGAGGAGGAGGAGGAGGCGGCGGAGGAGGAGGAGGAGGAGAGGAGGAGGAGGCGGAGGAGGCGGAGGAGGAGGAGGAGGAGGAGGAGGAGGAGGAGGAGGAGGGGGAGGAGGAGAGATGCTCTCGAGCCGCCTGCGACCGAGGGCCCGTGGGGCTCGGAACTCTGCGCTCAGGGCTCGTCTGCGCGGGGCGCCGCGGCGAACCACTTCTCCTCCCCCTCCCCCTCCTCCTCCTCCCTTCTCCCCCTCCTCCTCCCCCCCTCCCTCCCTCCCCCTCCCCCCTCCTCCTCCTCCCTCCTCCTCCCTCCTCCTCCCTCCTCCTCCTCCTTCCCTCTCCTCCCTCCTCTCCTCCTCCTCCTCCTACGCCTCCTCCTCCTCCTCCTCCTTCTCGGGGGCCTTCGAAGGCCCATGTTTTGGCGACGGCTCGTGCAGTTCTCTTGTGGCCACCGACCCCAGGCTGCGCAGGGCTGGATGGGGGGTGGCCCAGGTGAATTCAAGCGGGTTAGATGTCCTGGCCTCGCTGTGCGGCCCCCTCCCAGCTTTAAACCAGAGCTCTGAGGTTGCCGAATTGTTCGCTTTCAAGATGTATCTAGATAATACTGGCTTCGGCCCATACGAGTACCTCTCTGATTGCGATTGGGTGGTTTCGAGCTTCCGCAAGGGTCGCTGCGAGACCACAGGTGCCATGCACGCCTGTGCTGATTTGTGGGAGGGGGTTTGTGACCGTGTGTGCGACCTGGGGGGTGAAATCGTGGTGACAAAGGTCAAGGGTCACGCGCGAGGGCGCGACGACGACCTTGACGAGGGAGCGAGATGGCGGCGGCTCGGCAACAAGGCTGCCGACGAGGCGGCACGGGCTGGCGCCGCCCTCCACCCCTCGGACCAGGATGCTGAGGATCGTGTGATCCGCTCCCACCGTTTGGTCCATTATGTAGGGAAGTACCTGGCCAGGACCATCCGTGGAGCGGGGCCAGGTCTTGCGTCCGCCTCCCGCCGCGAGGTGGGGCTTAGGAGGGGTGGCCGAATCGTTCCTCGGCTCTCGGATGATGCTGCGCCTCCCGAGGGCTCTCATGACCCTGTCTGGTTTCCTAGGGGTGGCTACAGGTGCATCAAGTGCCTGCGTTCGGGAGGAACGGTCCAGATTTTAAAAGCCACTCCGTGCAAGCCTGGTGAGGGCCACCGCATCTGGACGGTGGGCCCCTTTGTGTTCTGTAGTGTGTGCGGTGCCTACAGCGAACACAACACCCAGAAGGTCGGTCAAGGTTGCCGTGGAAGCTGCCCGCGTGGGTTTGTTGCGTGGGACCGCCTGCGTAAGTTGTGGCGTGGCCGCCACCCCCGCAGTGGGATCGAGCTTCGGGTCTCGGGAGTCGGACCCCGCCCCACCCCCTTCGGCTCATTCGCCCTCGACCACAAATTTAAGGGCCTGGAGGTCCTCCCTGGTTCCGAGGATGAGAATGTGGCTTGAGGCGTGGTCGGTCCTGGGTCCGCTCCCGTTTTTAGAGTTGTTTTCCTGACGGTGGCACTCGTCTCCCCTCTTCCTCCGCCTTTCCCCTCCTGGGAGGTGCCCGTCAGCCACCCGATCGCGCCCTAAGCGCGAGGCCGCTGGTTGCTAGTCTCGACTGCACCCCTCGGCCCCACCAGCACAAAACCCCTCCTCCTCTCCCTCCTCCTCCTCCCCCCCCCCTCCTCCCCCTTCTCCGCCTCCTCCTCCTCCTCCTCCTCCTCCTCCTCCTCCTCCTCCTCCTCCTTCTCCTCCTCCTCCTCCTCCTCCTCCTCCTCCTCCTCCTCCTCCTCCTCCTCCTCCCACTGGCAGCGCAGCGCCGCCAGGCACGCAGCGACGGCCTTCTTCGACCACGGGGCCTCGCACGGCCCAGACCCCCGACGTCATCCTTTTTGCACGACGCGACCCCCAGAGGTCCAGACCCCTTCCCCGGGACCAGTCTCGCGTCCGGAGCTCGGGGCTCAAGTGACAGAGGTCAATGCAAACGGGGGTCAGCCAAGGTGCCAGATTTTGCAGGATCCTGCAGGGGCAGGGGCGCACTGACCCGGGTCTGGGTGTAGGATCCTGCAGGATCTTGCAGGATCCTTCGCATTGACCCGGGTTTGGGTGCAGGATGTTGCAGGACGTTGCTGGATTTTGCAAGGCCTGACTGACCCGGGTCTGGATTGACCCGCGTGAGCAGATCCCCGATGAGTCGTTTATTAACGGTCCCGAGGCCCAGCAAGGGCCCCAGGTGGCCGAAAATCATGCAAAACCGCCAGTCGTGATCTTGTCACAACGAGAGAGTGTCTGGGCTCGGCCAGGGGAAGGGCCCCCAGAGGCAGTAACATTCACGCCAAACCGCCCGCCGTGATTTTGTCACAACGCGAGGCGGTCTGGGTTCGACCGTATTTCGGCGGCGAGCGAGGGGGGGAAATGAGAAGATGAAGGCTTTCTCAGAAGGCGGCGGGACTTCTCAGAAGCCCTCGCGCCCTCTGAGAAGTTCTCTGTGTCTTCGAGGAAGGCTGAGACAACTTCTCAGATGTCCGGGGGACACTTCCGAACCTTCTGAGAAGGCCCGCCCCTTCTCGCTTTCCCCCCTGGCTCGCCGCCGAGTATCCGGGGATCAAAAATAGCCATTCACATAAACTTCTGGCGCTCCGCGCGGATTCCAAGAGGTCGGCCCCCCTTCTGCTGGATTCTCGGCGGTGGTGGTGCGTGGTTCGCATCCAGAAGCAGGAACGGTTCCCAGGAAAGCTGTCTGGAGGGAGGGGCGTATGTACGCATGTTGCGAAGCAGGGACGCCAACGATGGTTAAGCCAGAGACTTCGGGCGGCCTCTTGGAGCTGCATTCGGACCATTCTGAAATCCTTTGGGGCTCTCTTGGAGCCCTCTCGGGGCTCTCGTGGGACTCTTTTGGCGACCTGTCGGGGGCGATCTCTTGGGGCCATCTTCGAGGCCCTGTGTTAAAGGGGGAGCCAGGGAACAGGGCCACCTCCCTAAGAGGTTCAATGATGGGCCTTCTTGGGACGCTCAAGGACTCTCTTGGGCGCTCTTGGGGCCGTCCTGGGGCCACTCTTGGGGTTCTCTTGGGCCAGCTGGGACCCGTCTTGAGTCAGGAGGGGAAAAACACACAGACACAATTAATCGTCGATTTCCCCGAAATTATATGAAAATATGGGACAAAAAGCCCAGAACATATAGCAAATATGGGGAATCCTGCTATTTGTGTGTATTTATGTGTGTGTCCTCGGGCTCCTTTGTTGAGGCCCGAGGAGCCTATCGGAAGCTAAATGGCGAGAAGGCAAACAGCATTGAAACATCTCAGATGTTTGGGTGATGTTTTGCCTGTAGCGGGGTTCCTCTTGGGGCTCCGGGGTGCTTCGAGTCATCTTGGGGCCGTTTTATTCTATCTTGGAGGTACGTCGGAGTCCCACCAGCCCTCCTGGGCGTCGGTGGTTTAGGGAGTTTTCTCTTCCACCCCTCCTTCCCATTCGGGGAGGGGTTTACCCCTACCCCCTCCCCATGGACCTGGACAGGTGGTTTCGCGAGTCGTCGGAGCGTCCAAAACGGCCTCGGCGAGGAAGCCAAAATCATTGGTTTTACTAGGTTTGTGGCCCCATTTTGGCCTCCTGGGTGGGGACCCTAATTAAAGCTCCCCTCTTGTTCGATCGATCTCCTCCAAGATGGCCCCAAGAAGCGCCCAGGAGGCCTCAAGAGGTCCCAAGATGGCCCCAAGATGGCCCCAAGAGGCCCCCAGAAGGCCACCAATAGACCCCCAAGAGGCCCCAAGAGACCCCCAAGAGGCACCCAAGATGCTCCAAGAGGCTTCGGCGAGAATGCCAAATCATTGATGTTCCGAAGGTTTTAGCCACATGTTGGCCTCTTGGGGGGCGCACTGATTAAGATGACTCCAAGAGCGCGTGGGAGAGCCCAACATGACCTCCAAGATGGCTCAAGATATCCCAAGATGTCTCATAATGGCTTTCTCTGTGTGCTGCCCACTTCCCTGATCGAGGCAATTCCTCTGGGCATCGTTTCTGGATGGGCTGGTGGGGATTCTTTTCAGGTCGCGGCCGCAAGCGAAGAGGCAGGCGGCGGGCAGGGAGTCCGGGCAAACGCGCAAGCCTAACTAGCTACAACAGGCACAGGCCAGCCGGCCCACTCACAAAGCAGCCGCGAAGCTGAAGGGGAGCTGACGGCGGGGGGCATCCTGAGAGCTCGAGCACGTGCACAGGACAAGGCGTCATGGAATTCGGTGCCTGCCATGGCACGACCCACACAGTATGAGACGTGAACCAGGATAACCAAGTCCGTCGTTCTGAGTGGGGGCAAGCGCGAGGCCTGTGGAGTGAGTCGCCGGTGGGGCGCCAGGCTCCAAACGCCATTGACGACGTGAGCTAGCCAGGGGGGCTGAGCTGTCGCGAACCGCGATGCAACGCAACTGGTGAAAGCTGACGGTGAGCCTGGGGTGCTGCAGCTGCTGCGGAAGGCTGAACCACTCCGTGGCGATATCAACACCCGCCAGACCACCCAACAGTGCAAGGGGGAACCAAGCGACTGTGAGCCAAATGGTGGGGATTCGCGAAGCGTCAACAATTTGCCTTGCGCCTTCGTCAGCGATGTTGCTCTATCTTGGAGGCCATATTGGACCCTGGGCGGCCTTCTTGGACCTGCTATCTCTCGCAATTGCAATTTGATGGTATGGAAAGCCAGGCTAATCTTGATCTTGCGGCCGGGGGACTTCACGATTCCCAATCGACGACGACAGCGGCGGACAAGGCGGCGACGACCCAAGCGGCGACGACCAAAACGACGACGACTTCCACCACGACGGCGGCGGCATTCACGAAAACGACGGCGGCGACGACGGTGACGGAGACGATGACAGCGACGGCTGCCAGCAACTATTACATCCACATCCACGGCGTCTTGGATGTTTGGGGGAGGGATGCCGAAAATACGAGACGCAGCGGGTGTGGATCACAACCAGGTCTCGCTAGAGGCTAGACTTTGTCGTCCACATCCACTGCGCCGCGGGTTTCCAGCGAGGAGGAGTCCGAAAACTCGAGCCGCAGTGGGCATGGATACGAACACGGTCCATAACACGGGCGGCGGCGACGGCGTTCACGGCGTCGACCTTCCTGACGGCGGCGGCGGCGACGGCCACGGCCACGGCCGCTGACGACGACGGCGGCGACGGCGGCGCCGAAGACAACGACGGCGCGCTGGCGGCCGCGACGGCGACGCCGCCCACAGGCGCAGGCCCCGCACGCGGCCGCCGGCGCGCCGCAGCCGCCGCCGCAGCTGGCATCGCCGACGCACGCGGCGCCGGGGCACGGGCCCCTGGCCCACGCCTCGCCGACGCACGGCCAGGCACGCGGGGCGGCTCCTCGGGCCCCGAGATCGCCGACGACGCTCGCGTAGGGGATCGACTGCGGAATTGAGTTGCGGCAGGTTCTCCTTCTCCTCCCTCCCTCCCTCCCTTCCTTCCCTCCCTCCCTCCCTCTCCTTCTCCTCCCTCCCTCCCTCCCTCCCCCAACATGAACCTCGAGTAGGCGTTCGCGGGCATGGCGCGGGGGCTTCCCGGCCACTTGCAGATGTGGTGCTCGCGCTGTCAACGCTCTGCTCTCCCAGGGTTTTGCAGCGTCGTCAGCACCTTGCTTCTGCATGTTCGAGCTCCGTAGCTGCCCGCACACCCTCCTGT